GGCATTCACCGGCCCACATCTGCATAAATGTGGGACCGCAGGTCGGGTCGGTGGAGGACCTTTGCTCTCAGTGAGAGCGACACACACCGCATCAAAGCAAACGCGTGCCGCCGCGGCGCAGGCAGCCTTCATCCACCGCCTCTTAGCACTCGGCCGCTCACGGCAGCATAAGCGTGAGACAGCTGAGCAAACCCAGTGACGAGTCTCGCTTCCAGGCGAGAGTGGCGCGCGTCCCACCAGAGAAAACGTGTGCTCCCGCAGGGCTCGCAGTCTTCACTCAAACGGCACGGTGTAGATGAAGTCGCACTCACAGCTTCGCAGCGCTCTCCCGCTCATGGCGGCATAGATGCGAGATCTCAAAGCGAACCCAGCGCAGGACACCGCACGTGGCAGGAGCGACACGCATTTTCACCGCAGTGGCGTCAAACGCGCAGCCCCACGGTGTCATCAGCTGCCACGCTTCGCCTCAGCACACACCGGCCCACCTAGACATGAAGGTTGGTCCGTGCTCCGAACACAGCACACGGGCGAGTTCTGAGCCCTTTCGAGGAAGCCTCGCCTTGGGTCACGCGGAAAACATTCCCGCGACACATGACGGTGGTCGAGGCGGTGGACTGGATGACATCCGTACAAAACATGACACAACACTTAAACACACGACCACTCCACGAACGTTACGCGGAGTGGTTAAAAACATGCTTGCCAGACAGATGGATGGCCAGGGTGTTATGCAAAGGTTACACGTTGCAATTTGCAACCCGAACCCCTCCGTTCGGAGGAATTTTAGAGACGGTCCTGTCATCACCAGACCAAATCTCATCCCTAAATGCAGAAGTCCAAGAGCTTCTGATAAAAGAAGTAATCTCCAGAGTTCCCAACGGAGAGAAAAACACAGGTTTTTACTCACGTTACTTCCTGGTTCCCAAACGGACCGGAGGGATGAGACCGATTTTGGATCTGTCAGCTTTCAACAAGGTGATCATGGACAAACCGTTTCACATGTTGACAACCAGACAGCTGTTGGACAATATCCAGAGAAACGACTGGTTTGTTTTCCGTCGACCTGAAAGATGCTTATTTTCACATACCGATCATCCCAAAACACAGAAAATTCCTACATTTCTCCTTTCAAGGGATGAAGTATCAGTACAACAGGCTGCCGTTCGGTTATCCTCTCGCGCCTCGTACGTTCTCAAAGTGTGTGGAGACAGCTCTGCATCCGTTACACAGAGCAGGGATGAGAGTTTTGTTTTACCTGGACGACCTGCTGCTGCTGTCACGCTCCAGACAGGAAGCAGTGACGCAGGCTCAGGTGTTGACATCACAACCTGTTAAATCTGGGCTTCACCATAAATTGGAAGAAAAGCTCAATTTTCCTGGCCCAGACAATTGTTTATCTGGGAGTGGAGCTAACTCAACCACCATGAGGGCTCGTTTACCACAAACGAGAATCGACACTTTAAAAGACCAGCTCCGTCTCGTAAGACCTGACAGAGTGGTAACAGCTGTTTTCCATCATGAAGCTGTTAGGAATGATGTCATCAGCTCACACAGTTGTCCCACTGGGTTTATTACACATGAGACGCCTCCAGAGGTGGTTTGCGCATCTGCATGTGGATCCAGAAAAACAAAAGAGACGGATGATCACTGTTCCTCCCTCCGTGAGAGCAGACCTCCGACACTGGGGAAACACCCTGGTTCTGTCAGAGGGAGCCCCCGTCAGCAGACCCACGTCACACGTGCCAGTCTTCACGGACGCGTCGCTGTCAGGCTGGGGGGGGGGCATGCATATCTCAAGCAGTAGGGGCGCTGTGGCCCCATCACACATCTGTCCACATAAATGTTTTGGAGTGCCACACGGTGCTGAACGTGATTCAACACTTTGCTCCTGTGCTGCAGAATCAACACGTTTTGATTCACACAGACAACAAGGTGACGGCAGCTTTCATAAAGCGGCAGGGGGGTCTGTTTTCTCAGCCCAGATGTTACACATTGCGCGAAAGCTACTGTGTTGGGCTCACCAAAATCTGCTCTCCATCAGAGCAGTTTACATACCCGGTGTTCTGAACAAAGGGGCAGATGTGATGTCCAGGGGTGGTCCACGTCACGGGGACTGGACTCTCTATCCAGACCCGATGACTCAGACGTGGCAGAAATTTGGCAAAGCAGCTGTGGACCTGTTTGCGACATGAGAAAACGCTCAGTGTCAACTATGGTTTTCTCTGAGCCCGCGAGACGAACCACCGCTGGGGGTGGATGCGTTTGCCCACAGCCCATGGCCCAAAACGCTTCTGTATGCATTTCCTCCACCTCCTCTGATTTTACGGTTCCTGAACCGAGTTCAGGAGGAGGGATTGACAGCTCTCCTGGTGGCCCCCGAGCGCGTGAACGCACCATGGTTCCCAGTCCTGCAACGCCTGCTGTCGGGCGCCCGTGGAAACTGCCATGGAGGGAGGATGCTCTCCTCCAGGCAGGAGGAGCGATCAGGAGTTACCCAGAAATAGGCCAGCACCTGTGGGTCTGGCCGCTGAGCGGATCCGCTTAGAGAGGATGTGTCTCCCACAGGATGTAGTGCGCACAATCCAGGATTCACGTGTTGCATCTACCACAGCGCTGTACACATCAAAGTGGACAGTTTTTCAGTGCTGGTGTACAGAAAAAAGTGTAGAGGTCATCTCATGTCCACTAGGTGGCATGCTGTCCTTTCTACAACAGCTGATGGACAGAAATTTGGCGTCCAGCACGATTAAAACGTACGCCACGAAGGGTTCGGAGACAGAACAGCCTTTAATCATCCGCTGATGAAGCGTTTTCTAAAAGGTGTACAGAGACGCAGGCCTGTTTCACCCACTTGTTCCACAGTGGGTTTTAACACTGGTCCTGCGAGCCCTGATCAAAGCTCCATTTGAGCCTCTGGATCAGGTCCCAATTAAATTCTTGTCTCTTAAAACAGCCCTGCTACTGGCTTTAACATCCGCTAAGAGGGTGAGTGATTTATCTGCCCTCTCTGTTGCTCTGTCATGTCTTAGAATTCAGGCTGATGGCAGCTCAGCTGATTTAAGACCAAATCCAGCTTTATGCCTAAAACATCATGAGCTCTTTTAAACCAAGGGTGATTTCGTTGGAGGGGTTTTTCCCTTCCCCCCACAAATCAGAAGAAGAGGCGTTTTTCCATCTTCTCTTTCCGGTGCGGGCATTGACGTGTTACATAACACGCACAGCCACAATGCGTCAAACTCAACATTTGTTTGTGCATAATAGAAATACACCTGCAGGTCGCCCGTTATCCACCCAGTGCTTGTCACACTGGCTGTGTGAGGCCTTTTTCTGAAGCTTACAGAGCATCAGATTTATAGCCTCCTGTCAACCTCAGAGCACACTCGACCAGGGGTATTGCATCTTCGACTGCCTTGCATAATGGTATGACAATGCAGGACATTTTGTACTGCGGCCGTGTGGTCAACACCCTGCTCATTCATTCGCTTTTATCTACGTGATGTGACGGCTCGTTCCATGACACATTCTGTCCTTAGTGTTTTACAGAATGAATATTCTTGTTTCATGGAACTCCGTTTAACTCACATCTGTCTGCATGCATTACAGTGTGAGATGTTGGTATCAGTCACAAGTTGTGATTGTTATTTTGGTTCTATTGTCACTAATCACTTCACGACTATTGTTGCCAATCTGTTCATTTGATTAGTAATCAGCTCTCCTGTTATTACTAATCTGTTCTTATTGTTCAGCCATAACCGGTTGGTTCATGGCTCTTTTCAGCATATTTTCCCTTCCTGTTGAATTTTTTCCAGGGCGTTCATGCATTCAGAACGTATAGTTACACAACATGCATCTGTGCATGGCACACATAATTACGCAATGCGTAATTATGTGTGCGCGCCATCGAACTCTGTCACGGAACAAAAAGGCGAACTCTGGCCCGGGCTAAAACCTAGGTCTCGGTCTGGTAGAAGCGAACTCCAGCGCGGTTCTACAGTGTGAATGTAAACAGACCGGGCCCCGCTCCGCAGGGTAAACAAACACACATTTCTCTGACCTTATATTGAGCCGTCAGCTGCCTTGTGTGAAAAACAATATTCTCTGTGGTCTTCTGTCTCATCTTCTGCTCATGCTAAGTCCATTTTTGAAAAATGACAAAATATAACTCCTAAAACTGCTAAAACTTGATGCCACTTCATTTTTATTTTTATTTACAGAAGAAGAAGAAGACGTGTCTTCAGAGGTTTTTGTGTTGTTTCTTTCAGTAGTTCTTGGTGCAGCACCCCCTCAGGTGAGCGGGGGAATAGGTTGGTTCAACAGGTTGGCTCGACTGCACAGTGCAGTGTGAATGCAAACTCACCAGCTCAAATGTAACAAAAGGTCATGAATATTGGTCCCGAACCGAACCGAGTCTACCGGACTATCTGGTGTGAAAACGACCTTTAAGGGCTACACTTATACTCATACAATCTGGGGTTACAGTACATAACCAACGTTTTCATGTGCACTTTATCTTAGCTTCTTTCTGCCCATTTCATTTATTTTATTTGTTTATTTTTATATTGTATACTTTATTATTTATTTTTTCATTTATTCAGCACTTTGGTTGGCCTTACTGCTGTTTTATGTGCTTTATAGATAAAGTGGTATGGTATGGTATTTTGCTCTTTCAGTCTTTCTGCTAATTGTAGCATTGTGTTTTTTTTTCCAGCTGCTTTTAACTAAGCTGATCATTTTAGCAATTTTATGCTCAAGCTTTTTTTTTAAATTTCATTTTTGTTTTGCGTTTAAGCTTTTTTCAGCTAATTTAAAATTTTTATATTTCTTTCAGATTTCCAGCCCCCAGTTTCAGCATGCTATACTTTTATCATTTTTCTGAAGCCTTTTCATCTACTTTCCACTACTTTTTGTTGCTGTTGATAATTTCAGCTTTCTTGTACTCCTTTCAGAGTCAATGATCAGACTGTTAGATGTATAACTGATGTGTGTTTTTACGGTCTTGTCAGGGTGTCATCATGGTGTCATGGATCATTCAGATGACTGTAATACTGCTTTCTGCCTTCATCAACAGCAGCCAGAGCAAGAGAGATATGGTGTTGTATTGTTCAGGTAAGACCTGCGCACACTCACTCACCTGGTTCAGGTAAGAACTGCTGCTGAAGATGTAAACGGTGAAATGATTGCATCATTGCTCAGGGGCAGGGTCAAAGGGGTGGCCAGGGTTCTTGGGCAACAGGTTGGAGAAACAAAACACTGTACTATCCGTACAAGTCGCACTGTTGTAGAAGTTGCATCAGTCCAAAAATGTGTAATAAATTGAAGAAAAAAAAGTTGCTTTGCCGTAAAGGTCACATCTATTATGCGTCACTGCTGATGCGTCATATTTGATATGCGTCACCACTGACAACCGGGAAATGTGGGCCGGTGTTGTGCCAAAAATTGTTTGGCTGCCAAATGGCAGCCGCAGGAGCGTCCACGGGAGGAATTTAACAAGATTAATAATTAAAAACAATAATTTGTTTGCTCGACATTATCAAAGGTGTGTCTCAGTCTAACTTTTCCTTAATAAATTCACTTTAGTAGTCAAAACGTCTTCATTCACAGCTGACGACAGTTCGAGCCATGGGCTGGTCATTTGTTTAATGGGCATAACGCTCGCTTTTCCCATGATGAGTGAACAGGTTATCTGTCCTTCCTTGCTTATTGCTCTAAGGTATGAACATATGTCATAACTGTTGAGGCCACAAGTTATGCAATTCATACTGTTGCGTTAGGACCAGGGCTGGCTTCGGGTCACCGGCCACCCAGAGGCCCCCTCTTGCACCCTGGACCCGCCTCCAGCCCACGTCTCTTCCCCTGGCTCAAATCTCCCTCAGAAGTGACAACTCACAATATCAATAAATCAAGGAAACGTCAATTAAGTTTTACCAATTGTATTAAAATCAAGGCAGGAAAAAGTTACAGTTTATAGCGCTGGTCTCTCCGGTCTGTGATGCGTTCACAAACCCAGAAGAGCCCCGAAGTCCCGTGTCATTACTCATTTATAGGGTCCTAGACTCCTCCTTCGCAGAAGGGGAGATCAACCTGTCAGTGTATGAGGGGGCATGACTAAGTGTGATCTCAATGGATCTTATGTGGTTCTAATGCATATGGAAATATGAGACAGTGCTTCAAAAAGCCTTTCTACGTGATGTGGCAAGCAGATTAAACTATATTCCTTGACGGATATTGAATCCCAGGGAGACTCTTTTTATAGTTGCTGGCCCAGATTAACCCATTCAGAACTGTGTCATAATTTCATTATAATCCCATCTCTGAGCAGATCAAAACCATAGGACCAATCTAGATAAAAATATCCAACAACTCCCCTTGGTCGAGGGACCCTAAAAGGGTTCCCTTGAATAAACTCTGAGTTCAATACCGCTGGATATGCAAGAAATTAATCATTTTTCCTCTGGGTGAATGTAAACTACTCCTTATATGTTGGCGGGAGATGCCTACAGGCTATAGCGTGTGACCTGCCAGCCTCAGGTCGCCTGACCCAGCCCTGGACATCTGCCTAGGACTTCAGCATCCCCCTGGTGTGGTGAATATGACATAATGGAAATTTCTAACATTTGTCTAAGTCAGTGCTCTAAATATGATTTAATAATTGCAGGAGGCGTCCTAATGCAAGAACGTGTTCTTATCTAATAGATGTTCATCAGTTTGTAGAACCTGAACTTCTCTTTTTGACTTTAAGGGCAGGCCTGGTCCATTTTGTCCATCAGAAAAAGAAAAGGAAAAAACTCTGTGCCCTTCAATCATGCAGTACCCATTTTATTTGCACAGAGCGCTGCCGGTATGTTTAGCCTGTCACAGCAGAAAATGTGTTTGTGTGAATAAAATCTAATTTAAACATTTAACATGTTTTAACGTGCATATTGTATGTAAACAACAGAACCTCCCAACTCCCCCTGGTGGTCTAATATAAAAACATTCCCAATTAACCAACAAATCTATTCACCCATTCCACCACCCTTCAATTTAATCCCAATTTAGATTGAAAAATGTCATGAGTTCACCCCCTGGAAAATCTATATTTTAAAACCTCATTACATGTATTTATCAAAATCTTCTGGTCTCTCGTCATGGCCCAGCTGTAAAAAAATTGTTATTTCATAGAAAACAATGTAAAAAATTAAGTTTATCATCGTAATTACCCCTTCTAATGGCGTTATTTCATCATGATCTGCTCTTGAAATTAATTACAAAACACATTCTTATTCATGCCTTCACACATCAAATTCATTCAACCTTTATTTCTACAGGTAAATCCCATTGAGCCTCGAGGACTCATTTACAAGAGAGACCTGATTTCAACAAAGAAAGATGACAACAATGGACAACAGCAACAACAATAAACAATTATAAAAAGTCATACTGCAGGTTTTTTTTTTTTTTTTTTTTTTTTTACAAATAGGATGGCTAAAAGGAAAAGGTAACAAAAAAAACAAAAAACAGCTAGATTCTAAGGCGAATGTAGAAAACTAAAAACAGGAACATGTCTGCATTGGACCCTGCCAGGAGTCCAACAGATTCTTAAAGACACTTAGAGAGGTCAAAGGTCGAGAGCTTCAAATCTTTTTGTAAGATGTTCCAGGAAACAGGAGCGGAATAGGAGAAGGCCCTTTTGCCAGTTAGTTCAGTCCTCATTGAGGGAACACTGCAGGTAATAATGTCCTGAGAGCGCACTCCGTAGCTGCACTCATGCAGAGACATGTAGGAGGAGATGTATGAAGGCAGCAGACCAGGAAGTGATTTAAAGATGAAAATGTACCAGTGAGAGAGTCTGTGTGAAGTTAATGATGTCCAGTTAACCAGTGAATACTGGGTGCAGTGGTGGGTATGATAATCACATGCAGTTATGAATCTTAGTGCACCATGATAGACAGCATCCAACATCTGCAGGGTTCTTGTAGGAGCGTTCATGTAAATAATGTCACCGTAATCAATTGAGGGAAGGAAAGTCACAGATACAAGGCGTTTTCTAGCATTCAGAGTTAAGACAGGTCTGTTTCTGAAAAAGAAACCCAGTTTAACTTTCAGTTTCTTTACCAAGTTTTCCACATGGAGCTTAAAAGAGAGATGTGAGTCGACCAAGATACCCAAATATTTAAAGGAATCAATAAACTCAATGAGGACACGATTTGAGGATGAGATCAGAGGAAGAACTGCTGGGACCAACTTCCTATTTGAAAAAAGCATCCCTTTGGTTTTGTCGGCATTTAGGACAAGTTTGAGGCGGAACAAATCTGTCTGGATGATGTTGAATGCAGATTTCAAAAGCTGGAAAGCCTTAGCAACAGTTTTAGCTCGACAATAAACAACTGTGTCATCAGCATAAAAATGTATGGATGCATTAGGGATGTTTTTACCTACATTATGTATGTAGATTGTAAAGAGGGTGGGTCCTAAGACTGAGCCTTGTGGTACACCATTGTTGACTGTTAAATAACTGGAGGAAGTACCATTATGTTGAACACATTGCCTCCGGTCTGAAAGATAGTTAGAGAACCAACCAATGGTGTGTTCTGAGAAACCAATTTCTGAGAGCTTATGACACAAGATCCAAAAAAGTTCAATCTGGTCCTCTGGACATAAAAAAAAAACAACCAAAAAACAAAACAAAGCAAAAAAATCTAGAAACGTTTCGTCTCTCATCCAAGAGACTTCCTCAGTCTGAGGTGCTGTATTCAGCTCAGTCTCTTAAATAGCACCTTCTCAGAGTGGATCAACCAGTTTGCTGCTGACAACCAAAACCAGCTGATCACATGCTCAAGAAGGACCATCATCCTAACAATGG